TCATCTTCTTCATCGACCAACTTCTCCTCCTCGGAGAATCGTGGAGTATCCAAAGCGTTGAAAGCCTCCTCATCCTCCATAGTCCAGTCGAGATTGAGGGCTTCCGACACCGAATTTTGGTTCCCAATCCAATGTTTTTCTTCGTCATGGAGACTCGGAACTAGAGCATTGTGGCAGAGGGCATCACCAGGGCTAGCAGAACTGACAGATTAGGAAAAATGTTTTGCCAAAAAGGCCTCCGAGTCTTCGTTCCTTTCTCTCTCCTCCTCCTCCTCCGTAATCTTGAACCAGCTCTTCTTCTTCTCCTGTTGACTGTCACGAAGAATAGGGGCCACCAGATTCACCGGAAAAGCCTCCCCCGAGGCAAGAGCTTAGGAATCAAAGTTTAGAGACTTCTTCGCCGAGTTCCCTGTCTACAAAGAGTCCCCAAGGATTTGAGCAGAATGGTTTGCCTCTTTGCCTTTTCCTTTCTCCTCCGAGGTGAGGTTCTTCGCAAGGTTTAGTCGGAAGGGTCTATCTTGGACATGATACGGAGACACATTTCCTTGCTTTTCCCTCTGTGGAATCAGGAGGGGATCCAAAATCATCATGTGGGAATAAGAGACAATAGAGGTCGTACCAATTCTTCTTTCATCTCTTCTATCATCCCGACTATGGTAAGATGGAGAGTGCTCCTTGCGAGAATAAACCCCTCGACCTCTCTGTGGGGAACCACGGTTTGTCCCTGGACCAAAGGAATCATCAAAGCGTCGCTTATGCCCATCATCCACAGATTTTCTTTTAGAAGAGGTTGGATAGTTTGCATGATGGTTTGATGGATTTAGAGGAACATAGTATTTCTAAGGCCCCTGAAGAGCGAGGGAACTCTGAACCACGGCTATGGAGTTGGTGCTGCGAGCTTGGCGAGTTGTTGGTGGTCACGGTCACTTCTTGCATGGGAAGTAGAAGCATGAAGAGCAAGACGTCTGTTGTCCTTCTTCTTGTCACCGGCAGGAGACAAATCTTGTAAAACAATCGCCTGAGAGTTGTTCATTTCGCCAAGAGAAGAAGACAGAGCACCTCTCTGTTTATCATCCAAAAGAGGGCATGAGTCAATCTCATGGCAAGTTTGACGACAATGCGTACCCCAACGGAACAACTTTTTTTAGAAGAGCTTAACTTTTATATTTTCTCTAGTTAGGAGTTGAGCTGGTTTATTAAACCTAAGAGGAGCATCAGCCTACATTGAGACTTGGATTCTACCATTGTTGGTATCCACCCTATGGGCTGTGCCAAAAGAGTTTCCAAAGTTTCTGAGAAGCTCCTCCACCCAAAATTCAGATGGGATACCTTCAAGCTTTATCCAGAAGGTCATAGTGGCTAGGAATGTGGTTTCGATATGCGGTTGCCATCTTTCAAGAGGAAAGGACCATTTATTGAAGTGGCATGGTCTTTTGTTAAGGATCTTCAGTAGATCCGCTTCTGCTTCAAAAAAGAACTGAAAATGAGAGTCTCCAAGGGAAACTCCCCGAACACTTCCTTCCCCATCCCAAATATTCTCTTTGGGGAATAAAGAAACCAGGGCCTCAATGCTACGTCTTCCAAGATGGAACATCCGACCAACAAGGTTGAGCTGAAGGCGAGGTAGAAGAGCAGAGTTATTGACCTGAGGGAGCACCACCACATCATCTTCTTCCTCATGCTCAAAAGCATAGGAGGACTGCTTAGGAGGACACTCTCTATACTAGCTTGGGCGAACTCTTGACATGATTCAGGTAGAGAGGAGAAAAGGAAGAAGGATCTTAGCTTCAAGTTAAAAAAACACTACAAAAAAAGGTTACATTGATAGCACTTAAGCATAGCACGATTTTCGATTTTGCTATGAAAAAGACTATGTCGGATTGGAATACTCTATTATAGCATTTTATAAATGCTATGCCGAAATTTAACTAAGCGAGAACTATTAGAGCCATTTTTTCATCGATCCTAACACTTAAAAAAACAGACGGTGACTTTTCCTTTTCAATTGGATAGAGAGAGAGAAAAAAAAACAAAACTTTGAACCAAAAAAAAAAGCTCTCTCACTCTCACCATCTTCGATCCTCTTCTCCTCCAATCTTCTTCTCCATTATGTTCTTTCATTCGATCTCCCTTGCCTCTCTCTCTCTCTCTCTCTGCAATTTTTCTCATCTCTTTAGATTTCTCCGACATATCATCCCTCTCTCTGCAAAGACGACGACCACTGCCTCATCCTTCGCCGGCGATAATCTCGATCTCCGACGGCCTCTACCTTTCCGCCGATAGTTTTAAGCTTCGCAGCTGAATTTTTATCTATGTCGTTCAAATTAGGGTTCAATCTTCAGCTTAAGGTACGAAATCACCAATATATACCTTGATTAGGTTTTCCTTTACCGTTAGTTGTCCTTATTTGGTCTTATCGAAATTGAAACTGGTTTCAAAAGGGATAACGATAATTTTGATATTTGACGGATTCAAATTAGGGTTCACTTTTCAACAAAACAAAATTTCATATACAAATTAGTGTTGTGCTTTGTGTTTTTTGTTTCTCAGATCTTCCAAAGATAAAACTCAGGTGTTGGTGCTAAATTCAGGAGCTTGAAGAAGAAGTTAAGCTTCTCAAAAATCTCTCCCATCCAAATATAGTTGTGAGTAATAGTTTCGGCTCTGATTATACTATTGTCGAATCTGAGTTTTGGAAAGATTGAATTCACAAAACTATTGTGCGTCTCTACCTGATTCCTTAGAATAGTTTTTGTTGTGTAAACTGATGATGATTTCATGCCCTCCAGGTGTTTGACGAATTGCCTCATTATTGGTTTGCTTGTTTCTTGACATTGTTTGGCGTTATGTACAGCTTATTACATTTAGTTCATTATTGAACTTAGTTATGGATCATTATTGAATCTGGTGTGACTAATTTGATTGTTGTTTTCTTTCGTGTGTTTTATATTGTGAAGTTACGAATGTAAAATCTGTCTAAAGGTGCATAACAACGAAAGAGACTACTTGTCGCATCTTCACGGTAAGAGGCATCACACCAATTTGTATGATATAGTCAACTTAGCATATCAATTGAATATTATGGATATTTGCTTTTTTCATATTCAGCTCATTTTCAAGAGAAAAAGTTCAGAGATGAAATGAAAACAGAGGTAAGCAAATGTTTTATTACTTGGTGTCCTTATGTAGCTTTTAAATTTGGGTACTTTTGTGCAGAACACTTCAGATAATGATCTTTATGATTCAGAATTTTCTGGTAAGTACTCTTTTCTCTTATGCTCTTGCTAAATCTGTACATGTTAATCATTTGTATCAAACCTAATATGTTTTGTTTCAATTGATTATCAGAACCTCCTCATTTAAGTAAATGGTTTCCGGACTATGTCTATGAATCATCGATGTTGGATACATGTTATGTTTTTTAAATCTCTGCCCTTAAAGAAAGTGAAAGTATAAAGGATTTGAAAATTAAGAAAGAGACACCAACAAAAATCGATGACTTAGTCTCTTCTAAGATTGATGATATGACTGACTCGCAAGCTGCATATTCAGGTGAACAAATATATGTTATTGTTTTGGCTTTATTATAATGTGATGCGATTAAAATGATTCAATTCTGCAGTCAATATATGAATGTTTGTTTTGTGCATATTTCTGATTTGAAATGTTTGTTTTGTTATTTCTAACAGAGTTGGTAGTTGAGGATAGTGACATAGACGATGCCGTAATAGACAAAAACCGTAGAAGTCTTTTTCGAAGAGTGGCTAAGCGAAAACCTACAATACCAACCGGTGAAGAAGAGTTAACTTACTTGAAGAACCGAGTCAGTGATCTAGAAGACAAAGTAAGCTATTTGTATGATGTTATTAGTCGTCTTATTATCTCCAATGGCAACAATGGTAATTAGACGTAAGGATATTAGTTTAGGTATTGGATTCATATTTGATTTATGTATGAATTGGTTTGGTTCAAAAATGATGTTTGGTTTATGATATGATGTATATGTATGTTTTGGATGTTTATCACATATAAGACAGACCAAACAATAGCACAGACCAAACAGTAGCACGTAATAACAACGCTATCATAAAACTTATGAGCGTCAAGAAAATATGCTATTAAAGGTAGTAATGGCATTCAATTATTGCTATGAAACAATAAATAAAGATATTAAAAAAGTGCTATTGTAGATGAACATACTATAGCAGACAAAATTAATGCTATTGTAGGTGGAGTATCTACCATAGCTGCCGCAATCATAGCAGTTGTTATTTCGCTATGTATTACCTATGATAGCACTTTTTCCGCGCTAAGAATGTAAGTTTTCCTTGTAGTGAAATCTGATTTACACAGGAAGTCTTCTAAGGTGAGACAAGCTCCGACAACATTCAAAACCAAAGAGACAACAGAGAGTCTTTGTTAGTTTGAAGAGAGGAAACAGAAGCACAACTTGGAGAGAAACAGAGCTGAGACATCGTGAAAAAGGAAGAGTATGGTTTACAGAGAATGAAAACAGAGGGGAGAGACCGGAGAAGCAAAAAAAGCAGTCAAGAACTACCAGAGATAGAGTCGGAGAAGACCATTTGAGGTTTGACTTGCCCAAAATGATATACAAAGTGGTTGATATCCCTTTTTAAAAAATTGGTTTGCTACTTTTGGACCTCTCGTAAAACGTGTTTGAGACTGTTTGCCATTTGTTAGTAACTACGAAAAGCGTTTTACTTTTTTTTTTTTAATAAATTCAAAAAAAAATTATCATCCGCAACATAATTGTATGCTGCCGCAAATACCGATGAGAAAGACTGTTTGAAATCTAACAATTTTAAGTGGTGTGAAATGGTATATAACGATATAAGTGATTGTTGTTAAACACAAGCAACTACAACCATACACCAGCAAACGTAGCATTTTCAAATAATTGCAGGAGAACCAATTAAAAATTTTAATGACACTTTTTCTAGTTTTGCTTTGATTAACCGGCATTCACTACTTATAAATCTAGTTTCTTTCGTCATCTTGCGACCTCTTTTCTTTTAGCTAATCCATTTATAACACCGAATTTTAACATCCACATCTTCACTGAATTTTTTTGGTAACTACAATAGCAATACCTGTTGTCATCATCTACGAAGAAATATCTTATGTGTATGTATCCAATCATCATACCCATAGAATTTCTCTTTAGATAGAATTGGTGGATGTGTTGCTAGCGAACACCACTCTAAATCTCTATTGGGCTGTGGTAAGTGATTTCAACCAACTCATTTGGTCTTATATAACGTTGTTAAATTTTAAGGTTTGCATTTTATGGATCCACCAATAGTAATAGGTACCATGCAACTTTTTTTGGGGTTCTTTTTAGCAATCTTCATGGGCTTCAGAAGGAAACCTTTTAGTTTTCTTCTCAATAATACAGTTTGTTAAGAGGGTTATATGCTTTCAAAAATTATATATTAACATTAAAATTAATTTTTAAGATATGAAAAAGAATAGATCTTGCATAAATAAACTCCTTTAAACATAAACTTCGATTATACATATGAAGATTAATTGCCACGTCGGAGGGTTCTCTTTTACAAAAAAGTATTGTCGCCCGACTAGATTGTCCGTCTAAAAGTTATGGCGTCCTGTATATCTATATATAACTCACATATTATACTTCTTTCACATTAGTCTAATTGATTCAAG